CAGCAATACTCATAATAGCCAAAGGATGGAGAAAACCCAAATTTCCATCAACTGATGAATAGATAAACTGCGGTACAACCTTACAATGGAATGTTATTTGGCCATAAGAACTAATGAAGTACTGATGTATGCTACCACATGAACGACCCTTGGGAACATTACACTAAGTGAGAAGCCAGACACAAAAGACCACATAGTATATGATTCCTATTATATGAAATACTTAGAGTAGGTAAATCCACACAGGCAGAAAGATTAGTGGTTGCCAGAGCTCAGGGGAGGGAGGAATGTGACATGACTGCTTAATGGCTTAAGGGGGCTTCCTTTCCAGGTGATGAAAATGCTCTCAAACTAGATAGTTGTGATGGTTGCACAACACTGTGAATATACTAATTGCCACTGAATTAACTGTCCATTTAAAAAAGGTGTGTTTTTACCACAATAAAAAAGGAATGAGCTAAAAAATTAATACCTTGATCTTTTCACTCTCTTTTTTAACTCGTTTTGCATTTTCAATAACATAAACAGTGCTCTTGTTGACTTCTTTATCAGCTTTGTGTCTCAGCCAATCCTCATACCCCTAGAAGGATAAAAAACAACTATATAATCAAGCTCACATAATGAAGTCAAGTTGTTAATTTCTATAACCCCCTCCATGAGTTACCAGCAGATATTTATACTTACAGTATTAATTTCAACTCAGAATGCTAAAGAGACACCACTACATTTTTAGGGAAAAACTAAGATATGCTTTATTGTGTTAAAGGTTCCTCCATTCTACATTTACGTATTAATGAAAACACAGGCATTAGAGGCTTAATATTCTTCAACTGTGAAGGACTATGATCTATTTTTCTAATTCTACTCTTTTTCAAGCTAATGTTAATTTTCTCTCCTTATTGGATTTGAAAAAAATTTTTCTAGGTGTTATTTCCCTACAGATTTAATTACTTAAATATATTCTTCTGTAGTGGACTGTTGGAGTGATCATCTCTGAGGAAATTGAATTCCTCCCAGGGACAGAGACTAGAAAAGGCAAGTGAAGATTATTTTGGCAGAGAATCTATGATAAGTTTTAGAGATCAACAGTTAAACTTCTTCATTGACTTGGGGACAAAAGAAAATATAAACTGGTGTTCATTTTTTAGAATTAAAAGTAATCAGGAAAAGGTAATGAATGGCCCGTTTTTCTTTGGGCTTTTTGTCTGGAGTATACTAAGAAAAAAGAACAAAGGAAGGAGGATGCTCATTTGAGCATGACCTCTCCTTTTTTACATCACTTTGCTTTTTTTCTTCATAATTATGTCTGTACCTTTTCAAATTTAACTGTTTGAAAAACCTATAGATCGCCTTCTTTTTTTCTCAGTTGCTATATTCATTCCTATTCTGTCCCTCTTCATGACAATACCAGGTTATCACTTCAGTGAGGAAAGAAAGACCCTAACATGAACTAGTATTGGGAATAAAATGAAATCAGTAAGAGCTTTTGAAACTATACAGACTATTCTTGGAATCAGCAATTCTGTTAAAGAAAATAATTCTAACACTCTAAGGAAAAGAACATTCCAAAACTCTTTATTTAGCAACCAAACACTTGATAAAATTTTCTTGCAGTTCCTGTTAGGCAAGATAGAAGAGCAGATAACCTCAAAAGGAAAGGTAACCTTGTTCCCAATACTGTTGAGCAGACCTTTATTTTGGAAGTTCTTTGAGACACTGTTAAAAGCACTTTGATTAAGTACTGTCTGAAATGTTTGTAATTAGCCAGCTTTTGTGGCTAATTACATGATAAAATTGCTAACCTGCCTTCCTCCAGTTTCCCATTTCCATTTTCAATGTCATCTAAAAATTTCCAAAGGTACTATCATATAAAATGCTCAAAATACTTTGAAGACATCAGCATTACAAACTGTGGCAATTGTCGGCTTTGATGAGAAACAAGAATAGAAGTTTCCTCTACCCACCAACCCCTTCAGCAACATCAGGAAAGACAACAAAATGAAAGTATTTATGCTCTTGCGTTCTCTGCTACAGGCAAACAACAAAAGGAGTCCACTAGAATGGGACTTTCTCAGGTAGACAGGCCACAATGAAAAAATTAATGCACTTTAAAAATTTGCCTCCCATTTCCCGACTGAGCTGTGCCTGCTACCTACGCTTTCTTTTAGGGTTACATCCCCACACACAAATATTGAAGAGGAAAGGCACAAGGAAATTAAGGATGTACCTTATAATCATTCTAATAAATTTTCAACCAAATATAAACTAAATCCATCAAGGATACTGCCCATTCTACTTATATAAGCACAAAGAAAGAAGATATATGTATATATATATATAGATAGATAGATAGATAGATAAATAATTTTTTAGCTCAGCCATCCTGCCACCTGTTGGCAGCTCAGCGACAGCACAGCTCGGGCTGGGCATCAAACTGCTGTTGCTCAGAGCTCAAACTCTTGAGTGAGCTCTTAACCAACTGAGCCACTCGGCCAGCCCTGCCCATTCTATATAAATATGAAAAAGAACCTTTGACAATGAAATTCAAGCCAGACAGGGCTAAAATGCAGACATAATTATAAATAAGAACTTTACCTGCTTGATGGCTGTAACAGTTATAACAAAGAAAAGTGGAAGTCCACTGGTAACTGGGCTAGTTGGTGTGTCTACTGTGACCTAGGTAAACAAATGAAATTGAAAGTAAAATAAAAATAAGCCAATAACTTATATACAGCACTTATACATCCAAACATTTCAGACAGAATGCAGACAAAACATATTCTGATAGCAGGGTGAATGTTAACTTTCATTGAAACAAAAGCAACCCACACGGCAGTTAGTTTTAAGAAAATAGTTCTAAAGTCAGCCTTACTTTTCATCCCAGCTTGAATTAACCTCTTTACTAAAATAAAATACATGCATTCATTTACCACCTATTTGTTCAGCACCATTCTGTCAGCCCCGGCCCTATGATCAGCCAAGTTGTAGAGATGCTGCTTTAAACAGATGGACAAAGGTCCTTCGCTTCATATTGCTGGCAGCTTACAGGGGAAACCAGGCATTAAAACAAGTGATACATTGAGATTTGAAGAGTAAACAGAAGTTAATTAGATGAAGGGAGGGGCTTTCCAGGGACAATAAACAGTGTGTACAGGATCTCTATGGTAGCAGGGAGTGTGGCACAGATAAGGAAACAAAGGCAGCCAATGGCAAAAGTGTGTGGCAAGAAATGGGGCTGAAAAGGGAGACAGGGGACAGACCAAGCAGGGCCCTGTAGGCTCGAGTTCATTCTTTATCCCACAAACAGTGGAAAATAATTGAAGCTTTTAGGCAGGGAGAAGGCACATGAAGAGAACTACATTTTGAAAAGATCATTCTCACTGCTTCGTGGAAAACAAAATGGATGGGAACAAGAGTGGAGGCAGGGAGCCCATTTAGGAGGCTATTGCTCTAATCCAGGTAAAAGATGACGGCTTGGATAAGGGGGCTAGCCATGTGGGAAAGAAGTTCCAGAGATATTTAGGGGGCAAAATGGCCAGACTGGTAAGGAATTTCTTATAAGGGGTTAACCAAGTATCTGGTTAACATGGCTGGGTGGATGTCATCATTCACCGAAATAGGAAAGAGTGAAAGAGAACTAGATTTGAGGGACAGAGGAGCACAAGTTCTATCTGCGCTTACACGCATGGACTTTCATCTCTAACCCCCCATCCAGAGCCGCCTCTGCCACAGACACAGGTTTGTTTTTTTTTTGTTTTTGTTTTTGTTTTTTAAGATTTTTATTGGGAAATTGGGGGGATGGGAACAGTGCTGGGGAATTGGGGAAAGGGGAACAGACAAGTTGCTGTCGTTTTGTTCTTCAGTCTAGTTGTGGAGGACGTTGCTTCACTGGCCCAAGTTGGCACCATCATTGCGCTCTTCTCTGGCGAGGCAGATCAGTCGCCGGCTTCTGGACGGCCGCTCACTGCGGCTGCTGGCCGCTCACGCTGGCTGCTGGCCACACACGGCAGCCCATGGCAATCCACTGCCACAGGGACTGCAGCCCACGCCGTCGCCGGCGACCCATGGCAGCCCAGCTCCAGGTTGAGCTGTTGTCCAGCATCTTAGCTGTGGAGGGCAGTGTCACTGGCCCTCATATGTGGGATCCGAACCGGGGCCCTCTGGCATCCCAAGCGAGTCCTTAACCATCGCGCCACTCGGCCGGCCCCAGACACAGGTTTTTATGTGGTTCTGTGCCTTCATGCAAAGACTGAGATACCAGTCTTCAGTATATAAACACCCTCTAATCCTTTGAGGCTCAGTTCCAGTACCACCTACTCTTTGAAGCCTTCTGAAGCGCCTCTTGGGTAGAAAAAAAATCGTACCTTCCACTGTATCCCCATAGCATTTTGCTCATGATACTTTTATGACTTTTACTACATTAAGTGAATATGTGGCTGTTTTTGGATATAACAAATTCCTTAAGGGTAGAAAAGCCCCATCTTGATCTCCATGGCATCTGCTAAAATCTTTGCTGTCTGGACTACTGCATGGCACATAATAGGTGCTTGGCAGACATTCGCTGAATTGAAATGCTCTGCATGCCAAGTAGAAGGACTGTTTTGAACATAATCCTCTATATAGTTTATTTTATACTGTTCTGTAAGACATCTGTCTTGCCATGGATGTAGACAGAGGAGCGCCTTTCAAATGCCCCATCATTCAAGACTGAAATTGGCTCTTTCCCATATCACAACCCAGGCTGGTTTTAAGTAGCGGGGCTAAATTCAATTACAGTACCATTTATTCAAAGCCTTAAAGTGGATAAACAGAAGCACTTAACATCAACAAGGCAATCAAGCAATTTCATTGGGATGTTTCTGCTTCATTTAAAAAAAATGAAAGGAGAAAAAAAGTACCTCTAATGTAGCAAAATTTTCAGTGAGTAATTTTGGCGGGGGGAAGATTTTAATAGCTTATAGACTTATAGATGGAAGATGCAATTTTAAATGTCTAAAATTTAAAATGCAGAACATTTGCAGGAACTCAGAGAACCAGCTCAATCTACTAGGCTTTGACCCTTAAAGTAAATGATTATCAGGAAGATAAAGTGATAAATTTTCAACTAAGCGGAAACTAGTGTTTAATATTAAAGTAAAACTATTAATTTAAACTACTTTTGATTTTGATATATGCCACTGCATTTAACGGTACAGAATACATGTTCATTCTAGCATGAACAAAGATATAAAATTCACGAAAGTTTTTTAAAAAGTTAGTCTCAACAAGTTTTCTGGTAAAAATGCTACTTTAGAAATATATAAAATCATACAAACCTTAAAATGTAATATGAGTGCTTTAAAAAGTGTTATTATAATAAGCCCTGAAGCATCTTTTTAATCACCGGGCATCTTAAGGTTAGAAATGGGTTGAAAATTTGTTTGAAGTAATCGAGTTTCTCAAAGTGGAGTGGTCATTTATGGAGCTCTTACCTGTACAAGGAAAATGATGAGGAAGTAAAAGTTTGCAATTCTTCTAAACTGCTCAAACAGGTTCTTTGGGAGGAAATTCCAAAGTGTATACTGTGTAAAGAAGGAAGAAAAGAAAAATACATTATTAGAAAGCAAACTTAAAAAGTGTTGGTAATAATGACTCATATGGATCTGGATTATCACAACACTTTGAAAACATGTTCAAACCCAAACCTCAAACATATGAATAAGCATATACTTAAAGGTATAGCACGGAAGCACTTTTTTTAGGAATGAAGTTTTCATTTTGACTATTACAATTGGGCCATCTAATCCCATACCTGTTTTCCCTGACCTGATCTAAATTAGGTTCCTTGTTATGTGCTCTCATATCATCCTATACTTCCTTGATAACACGTGTTGCAGTGAATAATTATAGTATGTGTACGCATTTTTATTAAAGTTTCCCCCTCAATAGGCAATGCATTCTGTAAAGGCAGGCTGTTCATCGATCTTTTTCTTACTTTTTCCACAACACCTAGCACAGTACCTGACACAAAATAGACACCAAACAAATTAGTGGGGTGAAAGAATGAACAAAGTACAGTAATACCTTGGTTTGTGAGCATAATTCGCTCCAGAAACTACTCATATTGCAAGACATCACACGTTTACCAAGTTAAAATGTATTACAAATTTAATACATTTTTTATTACATATTTTTTACAGAACATTTGTAAAACAAATGTTTGTTCGTCTTGCGGAACACTCGCAAACCAAGTTACTCATAATCCAAGGTTTTACTGTTAATTCCTTTGGCTCAGCTGACCTCTGGAATCTTGATCACCATCACAGATATAATTCTGTTCCTATCAGTACCTCCCATCTCCATGACTGCTCAGGTGTCCACATAAACACATAGCCCTTGGACAGAGGGCTTTCACTTGAATCAACAACATACTACCTGGGCTTTGGTAGCTGGCAATAGGTGAAGGTTTCCGTGCTGATTTATACATGGGCAAGAGGAGAGAACGGTCTAACTGTCAAATCACATAGACTTTCTCACTGATACCTTAAGCTCAAGGACTGGGTAACTTAAAAATCACTAGAAGTTGGATTTTCTAGATGTCTCAATAAAGACCAGAAACCAAAAAGACATATTTCTTGACCTAAAGATGTAAATTTACAACAGAACAGTCTCCATCCAAAGTATCTCCGTAATGTGAGAAAAATCCCCATTAAATTAAAGTGACTGAAAAGCCAAAGTTGTAGAGTATGACACAGTATGTGGGAATTGACTACTAACCTCTCTTTACAAGGCTTATGGGCTTAAGATTCAGGGAATCTCAAGAAAATGAAGATGAATACAAGTGAGCATATTCAGTGATGCAGCTGCATTACAACCAACAGACAACCTAGAAGGGTCTTCCCTCGGGGTTCATGGGAGTGCCTCAGGGAAGCCCATTCAAAATGAAGTGCTGAACTGTGTGTGTGTGGGCCTCAGTTGGGAGAAGAGGGTCCACACTCTTCATCAGCTTCCCAAAGCCGCTTGTGACCAAAAATAAAAGGGATCAAAACCACAGGTGCAGATCAACACTTAACTGTCCTGATTACTTAACATCCATTCTCTGAAACAATAAGCTCAACTCCAACAACAGGCTACCAGCTGAACTTCTGGCTTATTGACCTTCTGTTCCTCAACTAAAGGATTTTTAATTAAACAAACAAACACTTGAAACTGTTAGAGTCCTCTGATGGGTGGAAACATTTTTGTGGTTTGTTTCTAGGCCCTCACTGTTCCTTTACCACTTTTGTAATTTCCTAAATGGAAGGCTTCCTTGAGGAGCTCTGGTTGTTCCCTTTATAGGATACTATTGCTATATGCCCTCTTCTTTCCTATTTCAGGTCAAGAGCAATATGTTAAGAGGTCAGGGAACATATCATCAGCCCCCTTACAAGTGCCCAGCACGGTGTTTGGCACACAGAAGGCATATACAAAATCTTGATTAAAACTTGAGTGTTTGAGGGTTCCCTTTTCTCCACATCCTCGCCTGCACTTGTTGTTTGTTGATTTATTGATGCACCGTAGGTGGGACTGCAGATTGGTGCAGCCACTATGGAAATCAGTATGGAGGTATCTCAAAAAACTGGAAATGACCCAGCAATTTCACTCTTAGATATCTATCCTGAGAAATCAAAAAGGCTAATTCGAAACAATACACGCACCCCTATGTTTATTGCAGTGCTGTTCACAATAGCCATGACATGAAAACCACCAAAATGTCCATCGATAGACAACTGGATTAAGAAACTGTGGTACATTTATACAACCGAGTATTACTTGACCATAAAGATGAAGAAAATCTTACCATTTGCAATGATATGGATGGACCTAGAGAATATTTTGCTAAGTGAAATAAGTCAGTCAGAGAAAGACAAATACCATATGATCTCACTTATATGTGGAATCTAACGAATAGAATAAATGAGCAAACTAATCAGAAACAGTCTCAGAGATATAGAGAAAAAACTGACGGTTGCTAGATAGGGGGAGAGGGGTGGGGATGAGGGAGAAGGTGAGGGGATTAGACAGCACAACTTGGTAGTCACAATATAGCCAAGCAGATACGAAAGACAGTTTGAGGAACATAATCAATAATGTTGTAAAGATTTTCTAGGGTATCAGATGGGCACTGGTCTTATTAGGGAGACCACTTCCTGGATGGTGTAGATGCCAGACCACTGCGCTGTACACCTGAAACTGAATAACACTGAATGTCAACTATAATTTTATATATATGGTCACAGGATGTGGAATACAGTATAGGGAACACAGTCAATGGAATTGTACCAGCTATATATGATGTCAGAGGGGTAGTAGATTGAAGGGAGGTTATCACTTTGTGAGGGGTGAAATGTCTAACTAGTACATTGTTTGTACACCTGAAACTAATAAAAAGACAAACAAACTTGTGTTGGCCATTTACTCCTTTGCTCCAACTAAAAAGCAAACTATCTTTATTGTAATACAAATGTAATATAGCATACATTATTCATACATTATTTCAATGCAGACCAAGAGAAACCTACTTTTTTAGGGTTGCCTGATTAAAACTGAAATTGAATTTAAAGCCATAGACACCAAGTTACTCAAATTGACTTGTTTACCTAAAAAGTAGACTCAGGAGTAGTTCCTACAAACTAAACACAATATTAATTCACAGGAAGACAATGTTTATAGCATTCGTTTCATTAAAAATGATGAGAATAGAGATTTTTAAAGAAGGCAGTAAGTGGATCGTCTACACTATCTTAACATGCAATTATAAACTTAGTAAGCAACACTGACACTTAGAACATGTTTAAAAACAGGTTCTACAGAAAAAAATGCCTGCTTCCTAAGATTATATAATGCATTTTACATCTGCTTTGTAGTGAATTAAATAATTGGTTCACAAATGCGGCCTCTAAAGATGCAACTATGTGAGGGCCGGCCAAGTGGCACGTTGGTTAAGAGTACTACTGCTTGGGACGCCAGCTCTGAGCAGCAGGGCCCTGGTTCGGATTCCACATGGGCCAGTGACGCTGCGCCCTCTACAGCTAAGATGATGAACAACAGCTCGACCTGGAGCTGGGCTGCCACGAGTCGTCGACGACAGCATAGGCTGCAGCCCCTGCTGCAGTGGGCTGCTGTGAGCTACCATGAGTGGTCAGCAGCCGGTGTGAGCTTCCATGAGCCGCTGTGAGTGGCTGTCCAATGGCTGGCGAGCAACTGCCTCACCGGGGGAGAGCGCAATGATAATACCAACATGGGCCAGTGAAGCAACGTCCTCCACAACTAGACTGAAGAACAAAAGGACAGCAACTTGTCTGTACCCCTTTCCCGATTCCCCAATTCCAATAAAATCTTTTAAAAAAAAGATGCAACTATGTGAAAAAAATATGGGTCAGCCCCTCAAATACCTACCATTTAATTTAATTTGAAACCAAAATAGTATTATAAACTTTGATAAACAACTTTCCTAATTGAAAGGAGGGAGGTTGAAGTGAACAGAATCACAGTTTGAGGGTTCATTATTTCAATTTAAGCAAAGGGAGGCTTTAGAACATTGCTTGTTTTTATCTCAAGTCCCCAAATTTTCTGATTTGGCATTAAAAATGCTGATGGGGAAGCTAAAGCTCCAAATAACTTGTTCTATTGTGTCAGCATATCACAGCAGAAAGGGAGGCAGTTAAAAAATAAAGTAACTATTACTGCATTAGGATTTAGTAACTATTAAATTTAACAGCCAATTGTGAATGAGGTATCAGAAGGAGCACTGACTTTTCTAACTACTCGGATTTGGATGTGATGGAACAAAATAACTATACTTTAAGATTAGTAAATAAGCAGAGCTCTAGGCTTGAGTAACTGCTTACTTTGTTAAAATACTGTATCCATTTTATTATCAACACCTCTTGATGTAAGCATTAAATACAATTTTGAGTATTATAGCAGTCTATTTTCATTTCCATTACCAATGTCAAGCAGAACTTTCTCTTTCATGTGACACTCTTTCCACCATAAATTCAGAAGAGCAAAAGGAGTTACCAGGATATTACTGCATTAGGATTTAGTAACTTTAGCTAAAAAAAGGCACCTTCACAGAGTTCGACAAGACCCAAACAAAAAAAAAATGTCTAATAAATTCTACAGACAATTCCGATTTTTAAATGCTAGTGTAATTTTAGGCTTGAAACTTGAATCCATGATGTCCTTTCATATAAGAGTACTAAGTTTAACCTTGGGCATGGCTTCAAATAATTAGGTGACATTTGCTGATTATCATCCCACTGAAGGGACTTCATGAAGAGGCTTAGGATTTTTAAAGGAAAAGAATGTGGAACGGTGAACTATGATGGAAGCTAAAGACCCTAGCAGCGGCAATCAATGTTTCTTCTGTTACAGAGAGGATTTTGGGGTTTCATACCAACTACAAAATTCTGGTGACTCCCAAAGGTCCCTGCAGAGTTCTTTAAAGTTGGAAGGCTGCAGAAAACAAGTTTTTCTAAAGAAAGTATTTGTGTTCCCAAAAGAAGAGAAGAACACTAATTTGTAAGTAAATAAAATTTAAAGTAGGTCCAAGTTTTTATCTTTAGTGCTGCTTGCATTAACAATAATTATTCCCAGTGTTACACTGACATTGCTGATGGTATTTGTAAACAAACAAAAAGCACCCAATTAAGACAATGTTATTTTTATTACTAAAGAGTTGAGAAAGGAAATCAACACTTGCTAAAAAGTTGGAAGGCAGCTAA